TAGTCAACTAGAGCTCTCTTAGGATGATCCTTTTAAAAATATAAATTAAATTATATGACACTACTACTTTCCTATTCTCCACTTCAACCTTCCAAATATATTACAACATATATAGAATAAGAGTTAAGGTCAAGACTATCACTTTGACATTGGGTCTAAGTTAGACTTGACCTCTGCCTTTGAAGTTGACCTCATTCTGTCTCTTCCTATATCACCTTCTTTGACTGTTTAGACTGCCTGTGGGTCTTTCCACTTTGCTTTATTTTCTCAGGCATCCAGGGCTCTTTCCGTTTCACCTAACCTATTCAAGGAGATCCTTTTGGTCACACACTCTCCTATGCCCTCACTCTTTCCTTTTTACCAGATTGATCATTTTTTATAGCTCTTGTCACGACATAATTTTAGTTTAGAATCTGAATTCCTCCATTGTTGACAAGCCTAGAACATATACTTACAGATGAAGACATTTTCTCCCCTAAAAATTGACATGTATTCTGCTTCTGCTTGGCACAAAGTAGATGCTCAGTAAGCATTTGTTAAATGAATGGGTGAATGATAGTTGATTGTTGTTGTTGTTATGTGCTGTCGAGTCACTTGTGATTCATAGCAACCCTATGTATAACAGCTCGGACCTCTGCTGTATCTTGAGCCAGTTTCATTATCTCCAACATTGCTACTCCCATTACCCCAGTCACAGAGTCAATCCATTTCATCCAGGGTCTTCCTCTCTTGTGCTGTCCTGTCCCTCCACCCTGATGTCCTTCTCCAAGAACTGGTCCCTCCTGGCAACATGCCCAAAATGTGTGAGATGGAGTTTCAAAATCTTTGCCTTTGGGAGGTTCCATGGCTGCATCAGCAGGGATTTGTGCTGCCAACTCAAAATCCTTGCCTCCAAGGAGTATCTTGGTTTCACCCTCTTCATAACAAATCTATTTGTTCTCCTAGCAGTCCATGGTATATTCAATACTCTTCTCCAGCATCATAACTCAAAAGCATATCATCTTTAGTAATTTTCCAGCTCTCTAATGCATAGTAAATAATTAAGAAGACCATGGCTTGGATGAGGTGCATCTTAGTCTCTAGACTGACATCATTGCTCTTCAGTACTCTGGTGAAATCCCTAACAGCAGATTTTCCAAATGTAATTTGTCTTTTAATTTCTTGGCTGCTGTTACCAATAGTCTTGATTGTGGAACCAGGCAAGCTGAAGCTGTTAACAATCTCAATTTCTTCTCCATCTTTCATAGTGTTGTCTATTGGCCCAGTGGTGAGAATCTTTGTTTTCTTGGTGTTGAGCTTCAATCCATATTGAAGGCTGCAGTCCTTGACTTTCTGCAGCAAATGCCTCAGATCCTTCTCAGTTTCAGCGAGCAGGGTTGTGTCATCTACATAACATAGGTTGTTGGTGAGTCTTCCTCCAATCCCAAAGCTACATTCTTCCTCATAAAATCCAGCCTTCTGAATGATATGTTCCACATATAGATTGAAAAGGTATGGAGAAAGGATGCATCCCTGGCATACACCTTTTCTGATCTTGATCCATTCAGTGTTTCCTTGCTCTGTTGTAACTAACTACTGCTTCCTGGTTCAAGGATAGGTTTCACTTGAGCCTAGTCAAGTGTTTTGGCATTCCCATCCTTCTCAAAATTAGCCACAATCTGTTATGACCCAAGACAGCTGATACTATATACAAAAAGGAAGGCAATGCCAAGGGTACAGAAAAATTTCACCTCAATCTGTTGCAAGCTAAGACCCTTGATTTTTTATAACTATATTTCTAGTAATTCTGGCTTCTCTCTTCAGGATTCCTACTATGTTCTTATATATGATGGAGTTTAAAATTGAACAGAGCCTTCTGAGAGGAACCCCAGCAGTCTATAATTACTTTTCTCTCTTTACAGGTTTCATATGTGCTTGCCTAAGATTATACTTTTGAAAGACAACATTTCAAGACCGAAAAACAGCCACAAGGAAGCCTGTCTAAGGTCAGACACTTTGAGGAGCTACAAAGTGAGCATTTGAATCTTATTTACAGGCTCTACAAATCCCAAAACAGTTACCTGAATATCTTGAAGAAGATAAAATTTGCCTCATGAATTTAGCCCCAAATTATATATATGAAATGTAGATGTGTCCTTCATAAATAAATACTTCTAAAGTGAGGACATCATGCTTGGAAGGTTGGAGGGATGGCATGGGAGAGGAAGACCTGGGATGAGATGGATTGATACAGTAACTAGAGCTATGGGGGTAGGTGACAGGACAGGCCTCAGAGCTGTTGTACATAGGGTTGCCACCCAACAGCGCATAACAACAACAACAACAACAAAGTGAGAACTGGAGAGCTAGAGCCTGGAACTGAAGCAAGATGGAAGCCTGGTCTGGGCCTCTGAGGGATTCAGCATTTCAAACACCTCTGCTGTTAGGGACCTCTCCAAAGTGCTAAAGAGCAATGGTGTCTCTCTGGAGAATAAGGTGTGTCTGATACAGGCCATGGTCTTTGCAATCACTTGTTATGCATCAGAGTTGGACAATGACCAGGGAGGAAAGAAAGAGAAATTGATGTCTTTAAGCTGTGGTGCTGGAGTATTGAGAATACAATGGACTGCTAAGAAAACAAACAGATTCATCCTGGAAAAGGTTAACCTGGGTGACTCCTTGGAGGCAGCGATTCTGAGGCTCCATGTAACATACTTTGAACATGTTGTGAAGAGAGACTGGTCCTTGGAAAAGGACATCATGCTTGGGAGGGTGGAGGGACAGTGCAGGAGGGGAAGGCCCTCTATGAGGTGGATTGATTCAGTAACTGGGGTAATCGGGATGGGTGTGTCAGAGACAGTGCGATTGTCACAAGACAGAGCATAGTTTAGGGCTGTTGTACATAGGGTCTCTATGAGTCGCAAGCGACTCGATGGCACATAACAACAACAACGACATTTCTATTTCCACTGTGATTGTCTTGAGACTAGGTTGTACCTAGTTTTGACCTAGGTTAATTTTCATGCGTTATACATCATATAGGGAGTTTTGGTGGCCTAGTGGCAAGAAGCTGTGCTGCAATCCTGAAGGCACACAGTTCGAGGCCACCAGTTGCTCTATGGGAGAAGGATGGGCAATCTCCTCCCATGCTATTAACTGCCTCTGAAAATTTGCCGGAGGGTCAACTATGCATGGGTTCTGACTCTACGGTGCATAACAACACAACAACAACAACAACATATATTATACAGGAGTTCTGATGGTACTGTAGTCAAAGAACTGCTTGCAAACCAAAATATTTCTCCTAGGGAAAAAGTTAGGGTAGTCTGCTTCTAAAGATTTATAGCCTCAGTAACTTTATGGCATATTCTACTCTGTCCTATAGAGATTCCAACCATGAGTTGGAATCGACCTGCCAACAGTAGACATATTTTGCTTATTTTGCAAAATTACTTCCTTTTTATACTTAGAGGGTCAAGATTGGTGGATGATTTATCAATAATCTGCGTTATGCAAATGACATAACCCTGCTTGCTGAAACGGAGGAGGACCTGAAGCGCCTACTGCAGAGTGTCAAGGACTGCAGCCTACAATATGGATTGAGGCTCAATGTCAAGAAGACAAAGATTCTCACCACTGGACCAATTGGCAGCCTCAGGATGGATGGTGAAGAGATTGAGATTGTACACAGCTTTAGTTTGCTTGGCTCCATAGTCAACAGTCTTGGCACCAGCAGCCAGGCCATGGGAAAGTCTGCTGTTAGGGACCGCTCCAAAGTGCTGAAGAGCAACGGTATCTCTTTGGAGACTAAGGTGCGTCTGATACAGGCCATGCTCTTCGCAATCACTTGTTATGCATCAGAGAGTTGGACAATGACCAAGGAGGATAGAGGAGAATTGATGCCTTTGAGCTGTGGTGCTGGAGAAGAATATTGAGACTACCATGGACTGCTAGGAAAACAAACAGATTTGTCCTGGAAAGGGTTAAACCGGGTGGCTCCTTGGAGGCAAGGATTCTGAGGCTCAGTCTAACCTACTTTGGACATGTTGTGAGGAGAAACCGGTCCTTAGAGAGGGACATCATGCTTGGGAGGGTGGAGGGACGGCGCAGGAGAGGAAGGCCCTCTATGAGGTGGATTTATTCAGTGACTGGGATAATTGGGATGGGAGTGTCAGAGACAGTGCAGTGTGATTGGCACAGGACAGAGCGGAGTTTAGGGCTGTTGTACATAGGGTCGCTATGAGTCGCAGGTGACTCGACAGCACATAACAACAACAACAACAACATACTTAGAGGGGAGAGAAAAAAAAATCTTTTATGTAAAAATCAAGAAAACATACTGTTTTTCTTCTTGCCTGGTTTCCAATGTAAAATAATTATTTTTATTTTTTCATAGTTTGTTTCAATTCTCTGCAAAGAATATAACAATGGAACACAAAAATCTCAGGTATTTTAATTTAGCTTTTAATTTTTTTTTTTAGTCTTCCTTACATATTGCTTACATTTTGTGTTTTATTTAAACAGTCGGAAACGACTCGACGGCTCATAACAACAACAACTGTTTACATTAAGTTACAATTATTTGAGGAGCAACTTTTTACCGTATTTCATTTTCTCTTTTGACTGCTCACTGATAGATATTTCACAAAGATACTACCTTTCTCCAGGGTGCAGAAAGACTCATAGAATTCACACAAAATATTGCTCCTGAATGAATTTCCCCACCTCTTGGTGATTGTACACCTGCCTTCCTTATAAGGAGAACAAGGAAGTAAATCATGTTGAAGTTGCTTTCAAACACAGCTTTTCTTCTTTACCTGTCCAGGTAGCCTCTGTTTTCATTTCAGTCTTAATGAAAACTTTTTTGTTTACATCTCAAGTTTCCTTTCAAAGCAGTGTAAGTAGTATTTAAAATTTTACGCTTCAAGAAAGAAAGACTTTTAACAATGTTCACCTTTGGTCTTGTAATGTTGAAGGTAACTCATTTTTTAATCTGTCTGCACAGCGCGAAGTGAAAACGAATGGGGATTGAACTACTTTGCCTGTTCTTTCTATTTCTAGGAAGGAATGATCACGTACAAGGTAAGACTTAAGCCCTCCGATACATTATGTTCTTGGTATCCTTGACAAACCTGTCATTTAGCTCTGGGAGTAGATGAGAAGTCATTTTTTATTTGATCTGTTTGATTGCTCTTTTGCCACTGAGTGAAGGAATACTTCTAACAAATTACAGGCAGACACAGGACTGTTCCTGCAATGAATGCTCTAGGCTTAAAGTAAATAAATACAAAGGTTGCTCAGGCATTTTAATGAGGAGAATTAAACAGTGTTACCACACAATAGGACTTCTTAATAACTTTGTGACAACATCTTAGGAACTTTTCTAATTATTTTATTGTAAAGCAAAGATAGCCACTTGAAAGTAGCATTCTCCAGAGGGTTTTTTGATAAAAACTAGAAACAGGTTTACATTTAAGAGAGAAGCCTTTTTAAATGAATGTCTTTTTTTTTTTTTTTAAGATTTAGAGTGGCAGCTATTAAGGGAAATAAATACAATGCTTCTAATATTTGTGAATATTCAGATATATTCATGTTTTAAGAAAAAAGAGAAATCTAATTTTGGTTCCTAGAAAAGCCTGTTTTCAGGATGTGAACTGTAAACTTTTCTAAGAATTGCTGAGACTTTTTAATCACCAATCTTTGAAGGCTAAAATAAACATTAACGTCTTTTTGTTCAAGTACTTTAAGAGCCTTGTATCTTGTAAATGCAATAACTGAACAGACACCTAATCCCCTGCCCCATGCTGGGTTTAAATGTAGGTGGCTGTGCCCTGGGAGGTGCAGAGACCTGTGGAGACTGCCTCCTCACTGGACCTGATTGTGCCTGGTGCTCTCAAGAGGTAAATCTCCTCAGCCAATTTTGTTTTTTAAAAAACTGTGTGTACGTATATTCCCATTACTGTCTTCATCAATAGCTCTAGAAGTTTTCTGCTTTCTGTGCGGTGATACTATCAGAAAAAAAGGACATGTAAACAGTAGTTCTAGGAGTCACTCGTGTTTAAGAAGCAATTTGCAGAAGACATAGATGTCAAATAATCCGAAGAATATTTCACTTAGGATCTTCTCTTTTGCATGACTCTGTTATTTCTAACTGGTGACACTTCAAATGTCAAAACTCCCTGAAAAAATCAGAGGTCACACAGAGATGACTTTTTCTTAAGTTGAAAATACATTGAGTTCAGTATTGTGTTTATTTTCTACCTGTAAACGTGTTCATTCTCAGCCACGGCTAGTAGGAGGAAACTTGAAGACACGTTCCCTACATTTGAGTAAACATTAACTGTGAAGACATTAGTTCTTTCAACAATCTTCTGGGTTCTGTGACGCCTTGTCACAGCAATGACAGAGCCCCAAATATAGATTCCTTATCAGGTAAACTGAAAATGATATATGAAGGTAATTGGGAAATGGATAAGGAGTCATCCCTGTTCTGTAACACTAGAGAGAAATCTAAATGACTCCCCTTAGCTTTCTGGATTGAAAACAAGTCTCTACCAAAAGAATCTCACAAAGAGAATCTAAACATAAATCCAGACATACAAATGCCGAGTTCAGCAAGTCCTAAGTAGCATGACTCAAAGAGGAACACAGCTGGACCTGCCATTCATGCCCTGGCTAGAAATGTTAAATACTCAATTACATCTTTTATCGTCTATCTTCAGAGAAAGGCTTTGTGCACAAAGGACAAACGGACCTCATTCTTGAAGTGCAGCCTGGTGACAATGCACAGTTCTAGGGAAGTAAGTTCTAGGGAAGTAAGCTTTTCTCAGCTCATTTATCAAAAGCAAAGAGAGAAAATTTGCACCAGGAGAGTAAAAGTTACATGATTTTGGGACTCTTAATTCCCTGAAGAAGACAGTATCAGTTTCATGCAGAGACAAAGGAACAAACCAACCTAGCAAATGGTCTACACCTAGAATGCATTTACATTCATTTTTAAGCATTATGTTAAGAGAGTTCCTTATATCACTTAATGACAACTTTATTTGTGGATGACACCTGTAGCCAAATTAGCAACCAGTTTTAGGGCCAGAGTATTTTAAGAGGCCACCAGTAGGAGAAATAATTATCTAACAGTCTTCCTTGCTCTTATTGCTGTTGAGTCAGAATTGACTCACATCTGACCTTTCCGCAGATGTTTGGAGGCTATAAATCATGCAGGAAGAGATTGCTTATCTTTTCCCCTCAGAGTGGCTGGTGGATTGGAATTGACAGACAGACTCTTTGGATTAGCAGCACAACTCCCTACAAAGCCATTTGAGGTCCCCCAGTATATAGTAGAAGCAATTCATTTAAGAAACAAGTGACTTTGGTTTCTGCTTAGAAGAGATAGAAAATGAATTATACAGTTAACACTATTTCTGATCTTTAAGCAAAAGCTGTAACTTCAACTAATAGTAGTGAGCCTGTGTTGAGAAGGATGACATACATCAGTGACAGAGAATGTGGGTGTACCCTGGGAAGTTCCGGAGTTTGCTGTTCATTGCCTAGAGCCTCAAATACATATACAGGCCTAATTTGAAGTGAACTCGAGTGATCTAGATTGTAGGGAGAGGTGCTTTTAATCCAAAAGTGGTGCCTCTCTGGCAGTTCAAATCCAGCAGGTGCTGAAGGGTAAGCAATTTGAAGGTAATGAGTTTGAGTTTCCTAAATTTTAGCTTAATGACAAATTATGGTCTCAAAAATTTACCTCTTAGCAGTAGTTCAGTTTAATGAGTAACAAAATTAAAAATACCTTGAGCATTATGCTTTAAAAGTTATCTTTGTGGAAGCAAATTGACAATAACACCTGGAAAATGTAGGCAGGAACCTTAGGCCATTATTTATGTTAATAGCAGAGGAAAAACTCTGAGAAGAATGAATGGTTGCATAACTGGAGAATGTCATTGTGCTGCTACAGTGTAACAGAGAAGCTCTTCCATAGATGTGAACTTTACTGTGTATATCCTCAAACAACAACCACCAAATCAATTAAGTAAAATTTGTAAAAAATATACATTGGATGAAGTGTAACTTTCCTAGTTAGGGAAAACAACAGGTGTGGCTTGGAATTGTAAAGGACAAAATGCTTCCCCCTCCCCCACCCCTCAAGTATTAGTTGGTTTCCTCTCTAATTCTAAGAGCCAGTAAGCCGCAGGTTCAATTTTGTCCAGAGCCTTGGCAGCTCCTAAGTAGCTGTGGTTATCAGGTAACATAATTTCTCATCAGTTTTCCTCTCTGTTCTGGGCATTGCAGGGTTCCCAGGTCTCGCTTGGTCTTGCCTTCTCTCTGCCCCAAAGTACTCCTCTCACTGGCTATTGCTACTCAGGAGGATATAGCATCTTTTTTATTACCATCTAGTTGGTCCGGATGCATAACTTATACTTCAATGAGTTTTAAGGCTGTAACTCACAGTCCCTGTCTTCCTTTCCAAGAGGGGCCAGTGGAGGGAGCTCTGGTGGTGTAGCCCAGAAAGCAATGCACCATTGATTCAAAGGCCATGCTTGTACTGCATCTCTTGAGTGGTGGAGGATCTAATAAGGGCTGAGAAAATTCTGGTTACTACACAGAAATCAACCTTCTAAATCGCCATGTCTTTTATGTCTCATATGTCATCAAATTTCGAAGAATGTTCTGAAACACATTAAACTAAAAACACTTTTAGGCAGTTTCAAGTCCCTAAAAGGTTATCTCTACTGCAGTTATGCTAACACGTATCAATGAATCAACACTAGTACAGAGAGCTACTTATAAAGGTATCATTATTCTTATCTTTCACGTCAGAGAAAAGACTTCTGATTCCTGGATTTGAACTGGCACATTTTCCTGGAATTCCATGAATCTAGAGGTTGTCCTGGACAAATAAGTTCACCATGGTTATCTCCTCTACAAATCAAATTCTTTCAAAGGTCTGCTGATGGTACAGGAGAAGCTTTAGAGGATAGCAATGATACATCATCAAGTTGGAGTGGAGTCATAGCTGACTGTAACAGAGGCTGTGAGTGGTAGTGGTGCAGGGGGTTTTCCATCCTCTTCCCATGGAATAACTGGCAGATTTGAACTGTCTACCTTTGAGTCTGCATCATAACTTCTTAGCCATCATTAAGTTACCAGAGCTCTTGGTTAGAGGTATGGACATTAAAAACCAAAACAAAACTGAAAAGAGTTGTGTATGTACGTTTGGATAGGTATAATCAAAAGAAGACTTCATCATGTATTATTAAATGTTGGCTTTCTTTAAAACTGATAGCATTTTGCTGGAATGAAATATGGTCATTTATATTGCAAAATGTACAAATGCAAATTGCATCTGAAAATACAGGATAATATTATCAGAAGAATAAACATAACTTAGAAGCTAAGATATTGAGAAACTTAAAAGTATTAACACAAAAGATTTAGATACATTCTGAACACGACTACATAAATATGAAAGGTCTTCATATTCTGGTGGGGGAGCCCTGGTGGTATAGTTTGTAGGGACTTTTGATACCAGGCTTCTTGTCACTGATGGTTCAAATCTGTCAACTTGGAGAAAAATCTCCTAGTGGGATTTCCAGCCTTGGAAAGTTGATGGAGGGCCACTGTGATTTGGAAAGGACTTAAGGACAATGGGAATGAATGCATAAATAAATATATTTTGTCCGGGGCGGGGGGAAGACTACCTAGACATTTATTGATGGAATTCTCTGGCAATTCTGCTTAGTTTTAGATAGTCAAAAGTCCAGTATATGAAAATAATAAGCTCTAATGAATATGGCAACATGCTGACAGCCACCACAGCCCTCCAAAACCAGTGGCTGTTACATTGAAAGACTATTTAATTGTGTCCTCTTTTATTTTTTGTTCTTTTAGAATTTTACGCATCCCTCCCGAGCTGGTGAAAGGTGTGATACTCCAGCAAATCTTGTCGCTAAAGGCTGCCAGTTGCCCTTCATTGAAAACCCTGTTTCTCAAGTAGAAATCCTCAAGAATAAGCCTCTCAGCATAGGGAGACAGAAAAACAGCTCTGATATCGTTCAGATTACACCTCAGAGTTTGAATCTGAAATTAAGACCAGGTATGTTGGAATGTCTTGACAGTGAGAGGAAATCACTTTGAGTTAGCTCCTGTCCATACAAATAATCTCACATGCAGGGATATCACTGTGGTGCATTTCATTGATTATTGAGATTCAGATTTCCCATTCTTATGGAAATGGAGAATTGCCAACTTAACACTTTTCCTTGTTCACATTGATCACTTACCTCCAAATATGTTCCTAAGAAACCCTTATCTAACAGCAAGCATTTCAATTACCTAAATGTTGTTACGGGTTACTTCACATTACTTTAAGGGTTTAATGTTGCTTTTAAATTCCCTTTTATTTTGTTCTCCTCTTCTAAAACCACACATATACACAAACTCAGCTTATCTTCCATCTAAATGGATGCGGTGTTCCCTAGGAGATATAAAATATCCCAATGTACACCTCTTTGAGTAGCTCTACATTTCCCTAGTGAACGACTCTTAGGAGCTTGTTCACTTTAAACTATTATGAAATTTTAAGTATTTTCAGTCAGTTCTTCACTGAAATGGAATAGCCAGGCCAGCCTAGCGACCGACGGGTGGCAAATGCACCTTGATGTGTTTTCAATGATTCCTACTTTGTGCGGGGACCTTTGCAGGTGGAGAGCAGACCCTGCAGATCCACGTCCGCCAGACGGAAGATTACCCAGTAGACTTGTATTACCTCATGGACCTCTCGGCCTCCATGGATGACGACCTTAATACAATCAAAGAACTGGGCTCCCTGCTTTCCAAGGAGATGTCTAAATTAACTAGCAACTTTAGACTTGGCTTTGGCTCTTTTGTGGAAAAGCCCGTCTCCCCTTTCATGAAAACAACGCAAGAAGAGATTGTCAACCCTTGCAGGTAAGTAAATAGTTCCTGGGTATCACTGTGCATGAATTTTCTATAGTGTAGGCCCTTGACCAAGCTGCACTTGCTGAGAATTTTTATAAAAGCCATAGTATTTTCTCTCATCTGCTTGAACCTCAGCAGATGCCGGAGTTGCCTGGATTATTTGGAACCAAAGTGAGATTATTTTAACTACATGGTTTTAGTCTTGAGGGTTTACAGCATTGTACCATCTGAATATCTGTGTGGGTCAAAAGTTGCAAACTTGGCTTTATGTGCTGGAGTAAAGGACTGTGGTGGTGCATACACACGAACTGTAAAAATTCCTAGTCCTCGGCGACATCTATGCACAATGGCCACCATATGCTGAAGCTGTGCCCCGTGAGTCATGTTTTCTTGGGGTATCTTTCTCCTTTATTGTGTCTTCTGTCAAAATAGGGCTTTTTTCAACTTCCTTTGATGTATTTTGAGAATTTCTTGTTTTTAATTGTTAGTTTTCCATTGCAAACTTTCCTCGGAAATTAGGCACTAACTCTGTTTCCCTACCCCCTTTTTATTGTGATTTTAACTAAAGTTTACAGAAAAGCTGGATTTTCATTCATTCATCATTGCACATTTTCCTCCCTAAAAGCCCCATCAGTTCACTTAAAAAAAAATCACTCATTGTTATGTAATCCCCTCCACCCATCCCCACTTTGCTATGCACCTCTTATTCTGGACTGGTGTCTTACAGAGAATACCTAATCATGTCGCTCTTTTAAACAGCTCTTTCCTTCATATGTTCCAATGCAGTGTTATTTATCCCTTCTTTTATAATGTGTTAAGTGATCCATGGTTTCATGTTTTAACCACAACTCTATACACAATGAGATTAGACTGTCGTGAACTGTAGGGTTATCACTGGCTGAGCTTTTGGAATTGGGTCTTTAGGACTTTCTCCTTGGTCTTTCTTAGTCAGGAAGTTCTGCTGAAACCTATTAAGCATCATGAGAACATGTAACCCCATTGACAGATAGTAGGTTGTCCTTGTCATTTAAAAAATTTATTATTATTATTTATCTTAATGAAAATTTACAGAGATTTTGGGTTTCCATTCATTCATTGTTGTACTTTTCTCCCTGCCCACCCTCCCCTCCAGTTCATTCTTCTTTTTGAAAAGTAAAAGAAGAATTCTTTCATTGTTATATAATCCCTCCCCCCAAGTCCAGTCCACTGTGCAGCCTTTGTTCTTGACTCCTGTCAAGACAATAATATATAATTATATATACCTTTTAAACAGTTCTCTCCCTCATCTATTTAATGCTATATACATCATTTATCCCCTCTTTCTCAGTCTCCCCCCGCCCATGTCAATCCTGTTTTTCAACAGTGGCTTTAAGCAGTATTTGTCCTTTTGTAACTGAGATACTTCACGCAGCATAATGCCCTCCAGGGTCACCCATTTTGAATAATATTGCATGAGTTCCTTGCTTTTCAATGCAGCATAGTATTCCATTTTGTGAATATACCACATCTTCTCTATCCATTTGTTTGTTGATGGGCACTTGGGTTGTTTGCAACTCTTTGCTTTTGTGAACAAAGCTGTGATAAACATGGGTGTACATATATTTGCTTGGGTGGCGGTTATGGTTTCTTTGGGGTATATTCCAAGTAGTAGAATTGCTGGGTCAAATTATATTTCTATTTGCAACTTTTTGAGAAAGCACCATACTGCTTTCCATAGTGGCTGTACCATTTTAGACTCCCACCAACACTGAATAAGTGTTCCAATTTCTCCACAATCTCACCAGCATTTGTTGTTTGCTATTCTTAGTTGCAGGAGATGTACTTGTCAATTCTAAAGCTAACTATTATTCAGTTGATGATCAAGGACAAACTGCTTTCTGATGTCTTACTTATATAATCAACAGCATATTCAAAATCACACTTTGCAATAGCTTTCCATTTTGAAAAGCTCCTATTTATTCTGTAATGAAAGTTTTACATGCATGACCCCTTTCACTCTTTATAATAATAGATGTTAAAGCAGATTTCATTATTCCTGAGCTCAAAGGAATTAACAGAGAATGTGAAAAGTTAGTAATTTACCCAAGGTCACATGATCAATCAGTGGAAGATTCATTCACCTAAAACAACATGAGTAATCAGTGATCTGTACCAAGATTTAACAAAACCAAGCCTTTTACCACTATGAATCATATACACAAATAGGAAATGATTTCCCAAACATATATTAACATTTAATACCTTTATAGAATAAAGGTAATAATTAATCTCTATAAAAGGCTAATAGCTTTCATAATATCATTTAGAACATTTTCATGTATTTCCTAACTAGAAACTTGTCCATAATCTTATCTTAAAATAATTTGACCATGAAAGGAATGTGCCATTGTTTTAACTATTAAGAACTATGTATCAGAGATAATGACTTAAGCAAGTCATTATTTTTAACTCCTTTACATACAAAGTAAGCCCAAATAAAGGCAGTTAAAGGCTGGTAGGATGATAATCATTACTTCTTCCTTCTAAACAGAATGGCAAAATGGAAGATTAGCAATAAAGGATGCATATCAGTTATATCACACTTACTCTTATTACCTTCCTGCTTGTCCCTCTCCCATTCCAAGCATAATGTCCTTTTCTAAGGGCTGCTCTCTTCTGGCAACATGCCTAAAGTCTGTCAGATGGCACTTCAAAATCCTTGCCTCCAGGGAGCAACTTGGTTTTACCCTCTCCAGGTTAGATCTATTTGTTCTCTTAACAGTGGATGGTATCTTCAGTGCTCTTTTCCAGGGATAGGGGTGTCAAAGACAGTGCGATTGGCTCAGGATAGGCAGGGATTGGTTCAGGATAGGGCACTTGTGCATGGGGTCTCCATGGATCGCAGTCAACTTAAAGGCACATGTTATCAACATCAGTTATATCCTTTATCTGTCTGTATCCACTTCACTTTTGAAGTTAGAATACACATGGACTAAAATGGGCACATCAGAAATGCACCCTTACTTCACTGAGTTTTGACAATTGTAGATACTCATTCAACTATGACCCCAAAACAGGGTGCAGAACCTTGTTGTTATGTGCTGTCAAGTCAGAACCAACCCATAGCTGACCCTGTAACTGAATTCAGAGGTTATAATCACATATGCTACCAACTCAAAGGTGGGTGATTTTAATCTGCAGCCCTCAGGCCTGGTTTTAATTGGTTTTGGCCAAACATTCTTCTGAGTGGTATAGCACTGGTCTGTGCATTTGCTGTATGGAAGTAATTCATGGTTGCTGAGATATTCAACACTGTGACACTGATGTGTCAAATGCAATAATCGTTACCCATGGCGGACAGTGTTTGGTGGAGCTCCCCTATGAAAACAAGCTTGGAAGCAGGAGTGGCATCTACTTCTGAAATAGCTTCCCTCTGGAAACCCTATGAACTTGGAGAAACGATGGAAGTTTTACAAGTGTTCAGATCTTTTGTTCATAGGGTCGCTATCAGTCATTACGACTCAAAGGCACTTAAAAACAACAATCACATAGGAGGAGATTTCCCATGTTTCTCTCAAGGAGCAACTGGCAGACTCTTTCAACCACCTGCCTTTGGTTTGGCAGCATCACTCCTTCCTCACCAGGCCGTCAGAGCTCCTGTTCTAGCATCCTAGAAAGTGCTCTCATGCCCTTTTACAGTCATTTCCATTACCTGAGAAAAACCACTTTCAGAATTCTAAATGCTAAATTATTTTTGCCCATTTTGGACTTTTTAAATAAAAAATAAATAGAATAGCAGATTCTTTTCTATATCTTCCTTCTATTGCACAGCACAGTATTTCTGATGTTCATCTATGATGTTGCCAAGTATTAGTTCCTTTTGTTACTAAGAAATAGTCCAGTATTTACTCATTCTCTCATCAATGAAATCTGGGTTGCTTGCATTTTGGGCTAGTATAAAAATGGTGCTATGATCATTTGTATTTCAGTCTTCGTGTGACATAGCTTATTTCTTTTGGAAGTAAAGTCTTTTCCTTGGAATTGTTTGAATAATGTGATAAGTATATCATTGTTGTTATGTGCCGATGAATCACCTGCAACTCCTAGCGGCCCTATGTACAACAGCTCTGAGGCCTGCCCTGTCCTGAACAAGTCTCTCTTACTTCAACACACCTACCCCCATTATCCTAGTTACTATTGGCAATCCATCTAATCTGGGGTTTCCTCTCTTGAGCTGTCCCCTCCACCCATCTGAGTATGATGTCCTTCTTCAAGGACCAATCCCTCCTGACCACATGCCCAAAGTATGTGAGACAGAGTTTCAAAATCCTAGCCTCCAAGGAAAAACTTGATTTCACCCTCTCAAAGACAGACTTATTTGTTTTCTTGGCAGTCCATGCTATGTTCAAGACTCTTCTCCAGCATCACAATTCAAAGGCATCAATTCTTCTGTCATCTTGGTCATTATCCAGCTCTCTGACGCATAGCTAGTAATTCTGATAATTCAGAATCAGGTACACCTTAGTCTCCAGACTGATGTTGTTACTTTTCAGTACTCTAGAGAGGTACAGTCCCTGATAGCAGACTTTCTCAATGCAATTTGTCTTTTGATTTCCTGACTGCTGGTGCCAAAAGTGTGGACCGTGGAGCCAAGAAAGCTGAAGCTGTTACCTCAACTTATTCTTTTTTTTAAATGAAACTACAGTATGCTGCAGAAGGTCAGGGACTACAGCCTTCAATATGGATTGAAGCTCAACATCAAGAAAATAGATTCTCACCACTGGGCCAACTGGCAGCATCATGATAGATGGTGAAGAAATTGAGATTGTTGACAGCTTCAGTTTGCTTGGCTCTGTAATCAACATTCTTGGTACCAGCAGCCAGGAAATTAAAAGATGAATTTCACTGGGAAAGTCTGCTGTTGAAGACCTCTCCAAAGTACAGAAGAGCAACAATGTCAATCTGGAGAGTAAGGTGCACTTGAAAAAGGCCATAGTCTTTGCAATCACTTGCTTTGCATCAGAGAGCTG